TTTTTCCAGGTGTATATTATTGTTTTCTGTTTAATTTGTGAATGTTCACATTGCACGGTTATCAACTAGTTGAACCTCATTTTTGCTGAAGCTTTGATATTTCTTTGGTTCTCCCTGAGCACCCATTGTTTTGACTTCTTTTGAGACTCACTGGTATTTTTAGATATGGATAAAGAGGGGGCCAAAGCCCCAGGAATATGTACACTCCTAATTTTTGACTGGACTACTCCCCTGAAAACTTTTCACTGCAGGTGCAGAACACAGTATTCCTCCTGCCTATTTACACCACCACCTGTGCTCCCATTGTGGGTCCACAGGTAAATATGTTCCAATCCTAATCAACATCCTTTTCTGTATGAACAACTAAAGGGCATCAAGGGCAAAGAGGCTCTCTTCTAATAAGAATGCCTTCTTTCTGAGTGTCTGCTCCACTCATTCTCTCTAGAATCCAATTTTTTTTAATATTTTTGGACTTTGCCTGACCACATTTTTGGTATGATTTAAGCTATTACCTTCCTATCTTGTAATCTATATATATATATATATTTTCTAATCTTAACTTTGCCTGATTTGAATATTAGGATTAAAATTAATTTCAAACTGGTACTTCCCTTTCAAATGCAATCCAACACCCACCAACTCTCAACCAGATGACATATGGTCTTCCATCATGAATTCAGCTTAGAAATCTGAATTATGGTGGGAAAGCACTGCTTACATAATATCTCCTGAAACATGTGCAATAAGTTGTGTGGAAGATGAGAGAATAGAGAATTATGGTTAAGTTGACATGTTTTGCATTGCATCAAGGACATTCAGAACTGTGAATTGCATGATTGTTGAAATGAGAGCAACTCAACGAAGAAAGGCTTTCAGTATTTCAGAGGTACCTGTTTGAAATTCATTTTAATTCTATAAAAATGTAAACTTTAATAGAAATGATTTTGGTTAGTGAGTTTACATATATTTTGTGCTTTCTAAATAATTAATTTTTGTTTTGATCATCTTTGATATAGATATTATTTGTTTTCAGTTATATTTGGACCTGATTAGTTGTATGTGTATATTACAGGAATTACAGACCAGAGTATGAAAGATTAAGAAAAGAAAAGGTGAGAATAAAAAAATCAATTGATATACAAATTTTGCAAAACAATTATAATTTGATATTTTATGCTTGATTCAGGTTTTGTTAATTCAAACAAAAGAAAAAATTAGTTTGTATCAAAAGTAATGCATAGTATGAGTATCATTAGACTAGATACTAGGTTTTATTTACATGAATTCATACAAAGATTCTAGTCTCCTTTCCTCTGACTTTCCCTATAAAGATGTTTTTCATTTTTTCCTGTTTTTAAATCAACTCACAATTACTACTGATATAAGAGAATATAGGAGACAAGTTTATCCTAGTGTTTGATATCATCTGTTTGATAAGATGAACATATTCAAACATTCTCTCAACAAAGCATTCTCCTATTGTGCATTTCTGAGATTAATGACAATTTATAAGAATGTTTTTTCCATGTCCCATTATGCTCTTAAAAATATTGCATTATTTGTGGTTGATGCTTAATGTGATTATGCACAATTAACTGATTGATGAGTTTTCATTTTAACATGTTTCTGCAAAGGATAGTGAGATCAACCTTAGGCCACACATGATGACAAAACACCATACAGTGTATATGGATGTTAACTTTCAAGATTAGGTTTAATCAGACCAAAGATGCAAAAGTGTTTTGGATGAGCATTTGGGAAACGTAACAGATTTGTTGTGAAATGGGATTGCTGTAATTCCACTTTCCTTGACCATATTTCTTATCAAAACAACTGCTGATTTTGAGCTATGACTGAAATGTTGTTTGACTTGTGAGCCTTCGTCAACTTAATTTCTTTGTTTATTATCTTGTTAATAGTATAAGGAGATATGTCTAGCTTCATCACAATGCCTTTTTAGATTGGAGGGTACTTTTTCATAGCTATAATATTCACTCTTTGGACGAGAGCAGTCCCCAGGGTTGAGTTAGTGTGTGGTGTAGAAGCTCATCTATGTTATAAGCATTCTGCTGTCCGAGTTTTTTTTGTTACTTGCATGGAAAACACTGATGGTTCTTTTCCTCCAATTGTTGTATAACTTGGCTTTACATCATTTAATAATCTCACTGTACAAATATCCTCCCTTAAACAGAGCTGTTACATATTCCTCAAGCCATAAATATGTCTGGAGTAGCATTGCACTTTCAAATTATTGAAAATTCACTGCAAATCAAATATTTAGATGCAAAACATGCTACTTTTGCTTGTGGTACTATGGCTCATACTTACAGCAATATATTATCATTTATAAATCAGTGAAATAAATTACAGTTAACATTTTGTATTTGTTTAATTATGCTTTACAAGTTCAGAAATGACAAATTTATATCAGCCATTTGGTTTCTTTACTTATATGCAAGCTACACATGCAAATTATATGTAAAAAAATTAATCTTGGCTTTTTCTTTCTATGTTAGGAGAATGCTGTAAAACAAGAAAAGGAAAGACAGTTGAAGCAGGTTGAGCAAGATATTGGAGAAGGAGAAAATGTTCCTATTCTGCCTTGTGGTTAATATTAAGAATTTTTAGTCTTATTTTTATTCTTTAAACTCACTTGAATAATGTATCTTGTGTTTTTTTTCTGCAGTAACATACAAAAGTAGCAAGATCTATAAACCAGAGCTTTCAAATACCAGTTGTGATACTTGATATTTTTGAATGTTTATGCAAGATTCAGAGATAAAAATCAGTGACTGCCTTTACTAGTTAAATAAAATTTAAAAAGTAAAATTATTATTGCTTACTTATTGAACTGTGATTATTCATAGTGGGCCAGATTTGGCCTAGTTATTAGTACACCAGAATGTGAACTCAAAAGTCCATAGTTGAAACTCATTGAAAATTGTGTTTGCACTTTGAGGTTTTGGATACATTATAACAGTAATGGTCAAATAACAATATTTGATTAGAGTAGTTGAAGAATTGGCAATGTTGACTACCTGCCTTTTCTTTAGATCTGTCAATTCAAAATTAAAATTAGCTAGTGCAGACAATCTTTGTGTAGCTTTATTCAAATATCCAAAATAAACCAAAACCAAAACACACAATATTCTTAGGTGTTTGTTTTCCTGTGTACATGGTGGAAATTTGGTACATTTGTTGACAGTAAAGTGTACACTTGTACAAGATAAGGAATATTTTTTACCTTGTATTGGTTTGGCCTGTTTCTTAAAGTTTGGTATATACAAGCAACAGTATAAAATCAGTAACTCTGTTACCATCAAAGGATGTTACAAAAGTCAAATTTGAATGGAATGAAGTGCGTGTTTAACCAAAGAAACTGTAAAATATTTAAAGTTTACTAATTAAGCCACAAGAACAACATGCTTTTTCAAAATATTCAGCTATATGTTTGGCAAACTTATAGATATTTAGATAACTATAAAAAATAGCATTATTAATATTACTAATATCAGTCTGTGAAATGTTATACATTATTCTGTATTTATGTAATTTATAAAGAAAAGCAAGTTGATGATTTTTTAATGTATTACTTTGTCATTAATGCTGTCTTGTGTGATACTAAGGTAAAAACTAGGACATGTACTCAGAGTTATGAGAAACAGAAATCATTAAAACAAATGACCTCTCACTAAACCATGATAATGGCCCCAGTAACATCAGCCGTATTAGGCAAGGTATATTCATCATCCATACACTTGACCAGACATGACCTCTACCTATATCCTGTCACTTGCTGACACAGTTTTTATGAAAGTTAATCTGTTTTGGATTTGTAACAATATGTAAATCTTGAATTGCTTAGTATGGATTGTACCTGAAGATAACAGACAAATGTTCTGTTGAAACACATATTATGTTCCACCATCAATAAAACTTTTCCTTGTGTTTATAAATCGTTGTTTGCCTTCTTATTATTATATTAGTATAATGTGCTTACTCAAGTCATTTGAAGTTTGAAATTTTTAGATTTCTAACTTATTAAACTGAATACAATTTGCATTTAGGGGTTATTAGAGTAGGAGAGCTGAAGAGATGAGACACACTGTGTTTTGAGATCATTGTGAGATATAGTAAAGAAACATAAATAACAGAAAAGAAAGAGTGAATGTCGAGGGTGAAAAAACATGCCAACTTTCACCTAAGAGCCATATGAAAGCCAAATTTCAGCATCATTGTTATCACATGTGATAAACATTTTATAAGGTTCTCAAAAACATTGATGAAGAAAGATAACCAAAAACTCCTTGTTAATGAAATTATGTATTGTCAAAGGACACTGTTAAGTGGATTTTTTGTGCAGAATAATGATTTAAAAATTTGTTATGAGATACTTTTAGTAAAGAACTGTTTCTATAATGTGATAGTGAGATACTGGTTCCAGACATCTGCATGTATTAGTATACTGGGATTTCACCTCGGACAACTAAAGCATTTTTTTGTCATTGGATTATTGCTAAATATAAATAAAAAGGAACAGCAGCAAAGTGGTTATTGTATCATATAAGAAAATATTTTTGGTTATTATTCATATAATTTTTGTGATTTTCAAAATTAATAATGGTTTGAGCTGTTTTTCATTTTATTCTTTCAGTTTCAGCAGCACCTCGCGGGACTGGGATTTATCTTTGTGCTGGTTCTGATAATGATGATGACATGTCTGATGAAGAAAGGAGGCCTACAGCTCAAGAGGATGAGGGTTTGTGTTAACAGTTTTAATTGTGGTATATTTGTTCGTCCAACAGAAGTTTTGGTAAATTCATCATATTTTGTCATTTTAAAAAGCATTTTACCATCTTAAAGCTTGACTTATCTCTGAAACATTGTAATACTTTTTATGTTGAATCATTCTCTCTCTCCCTCCTAACAATAGTGTGACTTTTTAGCCATGAACATTCTTGATGCAATACATTACATAATTCACCTTACCCAAAGTTTTCTGCTCTCCCACATTCCACCCCTCGACGTGGATTCCTGTATGTGGTGAGGGGACCTCCCAGGGAAGGTTCTGTATTTTCAGTTACTTTCTCTGGG